TCAGCTTCACATTTTCGCGTGCAAGCCCTCTCAATATCAGTGGAAAGGAACCCCCCCCCGGTAACTTAATTTTGTTAATAAAAAACCAAACTTGGCCTAGGTATACCAGATAAGTCTTAACTATCTCTAGGAACACAAAAATTTGCCAAGTTCTGCAAAATATTCTGAAAAACGAAAATTTTACACTTGGGACACTTTTTTTGATACACCCTGTATATTCCTCATATATTTCCTTTTCTGTTGTTTTGAAAGTTTTGTCAGTTGCGATTTCCCTTACTAATGGCTGAGAGCAGCGAGTTCTCAGACTCGGTAGCCCTGTGAAATGTTTTGGCTCAAAACTCATAAAAACCATTTAATGTCCAGGGATGATTTTATGTGTCCAGGTGTGTTATAGTTCACGATCCGCCGCCTGCAACGTATATCATGGTAATAATAATATTATTAAAATCAATAATATGGCCTATAGTTCCGGTAATATCGAGTAAGTCAGACTGATTGGGTAGGTCGTAGCAATTGGACCACCATGTAAACGCAAGGTCATGGATTACAACGAATAAATATTGTCACCGTTAGCACCCACTTCCAATAATCGTAGATAATGACTGCAATGACTGTCGGAAATGACACTTTATGTGAACTGCGAAGTCCTTTAATTTGACAGAACGGATTTGTAGGGAAAGCTGTTATGGGCGCTGATGCAGGATTTGTTGTATTTACCCAAAACTTTCGGTGTTTTGTTGATTTTAACCTGCTAAACATAGAAAAATTCGTGTCAATCTGCAGGTTTCACTATCCGATGAATTCGCGACGGTTATAGACTGATAGACCATGCGCTATGGCATATGGCCTGCACAACAAACTCAATCCTAACGGTAAAAGTGCAATGCGATTAGCTCTGAGTTCGCGAGAGGGATGGATCTTCATGCAGGCTATGTTCAGGTGAGTATTGGACCACATGCGTTGACGCGTTCGTGCAATCTGCGATGTTTGAAGAATGTACAGCGAAGGATTACAAGACTATGAATTATTACTCTTAGCACCTACTCTGGAAAACACACCAATTAACAGCATAGTTGCCTAATTTAAGAAGCCTAGTTTAACAAGGCACCTTAATAAAAAATCAAAAGCCTGTTTTCGCTGTCAAAGGCCAACTCGTGCTGTGACCGATAGCGATCACGCGACACCACTTGTATGAGCGCGTGATTTTTCGCCAATCCTCAGGAGCTACGCCTTGTACATGCTTCATGGTCATGGCAGCAAACTTACAGTAAATTTAGTCTGGCACAACTTTAAAAGACAGTTTCAAAACCAGAAAGCATACTGATGCATGCGTGTTCAATTTGATCAAAGCGGCTCATTATAGAAGAGAGGTCGGTATTTAGCCCCGTTTACACTACACTCGATTTATCGGCACGGCACGGCTAAAATGAGTACCCGTGCCCGTTTCATCCGTGCCCGGCCTTTGTTTTGGTAGCCTGAACACTATTAAAATTGGGCACGGGTACCTATTTTAGCCGTGCCGTGCCGATAAATTGAGTGTAGTGTAAACGGGGCTTTTGTTTTTCCATGGCCAGAAAATTCGGACATAATTAACATTCTACTTCTGCCTAAATTTGCATATGGAGGTCAAAATAAAGCTTCGTGAGCTTATAGTAAACTGTAATGTGCACAGTACTAAACGCTATAAATACTGCTTTAGGTGGTCGATTATAATTTGCCTTAATTGCTCGTTGCAGAGAAAGTTAATCTTAATATCTTGAGGCAGTATTTCAAAATGTTTTATCAGTATTCGTCCTGCATTTTCAAAACAAAGTTTTGGTCATTTATCACGTTGAATACCATATAAAACGAAAACCGCAATAGCATAGAAATGAAATAAAAATGCAGAGCCGACATAAACCTTTACCAGCAAAATATTACTTCAGGATCTTTAATATGACACGAATTACAAGAAACAACCGGGGCAAGTTGCAAAGATGCAATGATTTTCTTCAATTTTGCGAAATTTAAGAATGCGTAATATAATTTATAGTTCTGCAAACAAATAATATTGGAACAGATATGCAAATATGCTACGGCAATCTGCATATTCCATGTCCGCAATTTCTGGCCATGTCTCTTTAAGAAAACATGGTATCATTACGTCAATGCATTTCGAATCAAATTCACTACGAGCAAATCAATCAATCAGTTATAAAAAGTATGAAAAACCCGCAACTATTAACATTTGTGCTAATAATATTTCGGGGGAAATTCTTTATTTTTGGGCTAAGCTATGTTTATTCGATTATAGTCAATATTTGGCGAGTAAACAACGTTTGAAACCTATTATGTCGATTTACCTCAACTTATGTCGTATGTTTTAAAACAAACAGATGATATCAAGTTTCCAATAAACCACTTCTGTTATTCGTTGACCTTCGAATGCACTGGTGCATGTGATTAGAAAAAAGCTATACTTCAAAATGAATGTAAGCATTAAGGTAAGTAAGAATGTAAGCGTTTCTGCTTCTCTTATTTCCGAAAATTTGGCCATGTGGTGCCTTATGTGCATGCCTAAAGCTTGAACTTACCGGCTAGGTCCTAGTTCTATACAGTTCACATGGTTCTGATCTCGTGACAAACATATAGCTATCGTCTTTCCAATTAAAGCTGATAACATTTACACGCTTCGCTTCCAGGCATCGATTTTCTTTAGCCACGGGGGTGATTAATAGCACTAATCTTACTGTTATTCCACGGAATCCTATACATCTTGGTTTTTCACACGCTTTTTTTTAAAATAGTATTTTGTAAACACCAAAAAGAAGCAATCACCGCTTGACGAAGCCGTGGAATTTTTTTTATAAAAGTCATATATATATAAATAATTAAACATGATATCCAGATTTAAAGGCTGTGCGAGATTAAACGAACTCATGAAATGAATTTGAGGTATTAAAATGAGTGTTTCTAGGCTCTAGCAGTGGCGTAGTCATTCCGACAATTGCATACGTTTGTTAAATAAAGATTTATTTCAATACCCCTTTGCATATTTATAAAATTGAAAATATCGAAATGTCTTAACATACTTAATATCTGTTTTTTTAGAGTCTAGCACAGACATCATTGTGCCAAGAATGCTTTTGTCATTTTAGAGCTTAGTTTTATGGTAGAACAGAGGGAGAGTTTTTGTCGCAATATACTCAAATTAACTTCGGTACGATTGCGCGGTACGATTTGATATATATATATATATATATATTAATATATATATATATATAAATATATTAATATATATATATATATATATTGTGGATCTAGAAAAGGTTGTCCGAAAATATATACAAATAGTTGTGACATGTGACCACATATTCCTATCACGTGTCGCACCTAATTACGCATGCAAACGCATCGTCAAATCCATAGATGGCAAAGCTTATACAATGTGATCGACAACAGGCCATTGGTGAAATATACCTTCATTTATTTTATCTGTGAGTTCGTTTGTCACCGAATGCTTTTGATGTAAAAACAGTGAAAACACTGTGATGAACAGTAATTGATATTTGTTGATGTTGGCATAATTGTTTGGATATGAAACGTTTAATTCTCGCGTTCTAGACCGTTCGCATGTAAAGCGTAATACAGAAATCACACTTAATACCAACGAACGCCTCGAACTTTTATGCCTCATAGTACGAAGTGGAAATGCAATCGTCATTCAAATTACAGTTGCAGCACGCCGCAATAATACAACTGTGAATGCAGACATTGCTTAATAACACTGCTGTTTATTAATCTGTAATCTTTGTTGCATGACAAGTATAGTTTTCACCCATGGTTCTTCCGACAACGTTAAATTCATTAATTTAAAAGAGCCTTATTATATTAAACTGCTCCCAATTGTTTGTGCCTTTGTGATTTCAACTGAACTAATCACTCTCTTTATGACAAAATGTTATGTCATTCCAACCGCAAAGATAATGGCGATTGAAATAAAACAAAATAACCAATAAAACCATATATGCACATTGCCGTAGTCTTAGGTAAATGACAGTAAGCAACCAGTGTTAACCAAAGAGTAACAAACAAATCGACAGCAACTCTGGTTGAAGACCTGTTATAAAATAATTTCTGCTACACAATCCTTCATCTTATATCGTCTGAATATCGGCTTGGTAAGCATTTTACAACAAAAATATCCCAACTAAACAATAGCTCTGAAGCAATTTTGCAGCGTTAGCATGCGTAATTAGATATGACACGTGATGGAAATATGTGGTCACATGTCACAACTATTTGTATATATGTATATATTTTCGGACAACCTTTCCTAGATCCCATATATATCTTCAATTGTACTGTATTACTGCTCTGCCTCTTTGGTATGATATTATATATATATATATATATATTTATATACATATATATATATATATATATATATATATATATATATATATATATATATATATATATATATATATATAGTAATAAAGTTTTAATGGAATAAACCAGTTTGTCTACGGTATTGAGCACTCTATACCACATGATTTCGAACTCGATACTTGTTATCTTCATACGGATTTATATATATATATATATATATTGTTTATCAATGAACGTTCTCCGGATTTAAAATTTTTTAAATCCCTGCATGACAACGAAATGCAGTCAACCATGACAACGCATCCCCCAACTACCACTCATATCAGATCAACTTCAAAACAACCAATCAGACGTTCTCAACGTATACAGAGTCTTAAAGAACAGCGCGAAACTTAAATATATAAAGCTATACACATGTAAATAATTTAGATATTCTGAAGAAGACTCGAAGTACCGAGTCAAAAGCTCAATAAAAAACAATTTTAAATCCGGAGAACATTCATCGATAAACAAATATGCCTGGATTACAAATTTTTAAACATATATATATATATATATATATATATATATATATATATATATATATATATATATATATATATATATATATATATATATATATATGCTACATAATAAATGGCATGCAGTGTTAGTAAGGCTGCGTCCATTGTCACCGTTTCATTAAAAGTGATCACGTTTTGGCCTTCGGCAAAAACCACGGCTCCGTTAATCTTCACGATGTCGTCTGACGGCCCAGGAGTCACTATAATCATTGGGTATTTTGCCTCGGTCTCGGACCGGAGGAGAGTGTCAGGATCATCCTTCAATATATAATTATATATTTTCGAGAATCCCATTTTTTGCTCGTCATTTATATGTTGTTCACATTACGGTTGTAAATTCAATAAGGGAAGAATCATCGCTGTATTTACCATTTCCTTTCAATATGCATTTTAAAAGCGCTGATGAACAGGCAGCTTTGTAATCTGAAAGAAAACAAGTTAGTAGTATAATTAGCAAAAGACTTATATATTTTGACTAAAAATTTCATTAATACCCTTACAAGGCTTCCGTCCAGGATCATTTCTTGCGCTTCGTTCAAGATCAGACAACGCTGCTTTCACTAGCGCGTTTTGCTTGGTAAGGTTTCTGGCATAAGGCTTCCGTCCAGGATCATTTCTTGCGCTTCGATCAAGATCAAGCAACGCTGTTTACACTAGCGCGTTTTTCTTGCTAAGGTTTCTGGCGTATTTTATCATTTTTTCCGCGTATTTATAAAAAAAAAGCTGCTTTGCCTCTCTAATAGAATTGTTATGTTTTAGTATTCTTTCCAAACTCTTGACATATCTATAAAAAACGTACATGGCTATATAAGAAATATACTTGTCATACATCAAACCATTCACTACCAAATTTTACTTAGGATTGGGGCATGCATATATTAGCGCATGGGTGTGTAGGCCTATTAATAAGGTCATGGTGAATGAGGTATGACATATGAGGCCAAACATCACTATTTCAAAAAGCTATCAACAGTAATTGGAAACTACACAAACCTTCCATACACTTTGTCTACCTGCCATCAGCAGTGGATTTGCTACAAATTGCAGTCAACAGGAAACAAATATTGAATCAACATTTATGGATATTGGTATAGATATTGGTCCTGGTAAAAAGAGAAATAATATTATATAGTTAAACAGTCAATTCATAGTTTCTATGCTGTACAGAATTCCTTCATATTCATCCAAAGTACTAAAATGTATCATCTAACATCTAGTACAAGTAGCTCCGGATTCAGGGTTTTTTATGTGTTCAAATCTTTCTAGTTTCTACCTTTAGGTTCACATATTCATGCTGGAGATCTTAATAATTTTGAACTGCTAAAGCAAGAACGTGATTGGATTAAAAGAGAATCAGGAATCATTCAGTAAGGCTATTATATTTAATTGCATTTATACAACAATAGGAAGGGCTAGCGAGAATTCTAACCCAACTAAGTAGTGTTAAAGAAACATTGCTATCGATTTATAACAGGCCAAAATGGTGTTCAGTCAATGGCACAACATACAAAATAGGCTGTGCTCTTTGAATAAATGAAGATGGAGGACTTCCAAGTTTTGCAACATTGAAAGCAATACCAGTATATATGTTCCTGAGAGGGATACTAAGAACTTGGTATTTTTGGTACATCAACTGGAAACAGGAGAATTCAATGCTCATCTCAATGCATATGAAATTTATACACCAGATCCTGTTGCAACAGTAACCAGACCAAACAGTCTTACATATTACTTACCAGTTACCACTGCATGTGAGAAGTCCCTTTAATTCTGGAGAGAAATGGCAGCACCAATGCAAGGATCTTACATTTGTCCTAAATATGAATATCCACCAGATGAATAGTAGCTCATTGATACTTAATTTATTTACATTTGTACCTCTGTTTAAAAAATCACAAACAAGCAGAAATGTACCATGCAAAATATATAAATTATCGGCTTTTTATCGCCATTTCTAATTTTTTATTTGAACATTATGTGCTGCTAGTGCCGGCAGAACAATATCACACATAGCGTATTTCTTTATTTCATTTATTCACGGGCACGAGAGCAGACTACAGATTTTCAAAAAAGAGAACGGCACTAAAATACGGCTGCTTATTGCTTAAAGGTGAAACCGGCCTCTAAGATACGCTACTGTTGCAGTTCTGCAGCTTCTGCTGTCGACGTAAATACTCCGATGTCACTCCTAGCGGGTTCAACAAACAGAATTGAATAAGAATACCTTCTTATAGATCCAAGCTTCTCTTAGTAAATTTAGTTTTGTGAAAAATAAATGCGTAATTTGATAAAATTCACTATTCTATAGACGCCATTTTGAAAATACGCGAGATCAATGGGTAACACCGACTCTGACGTATTGAGCAATACCAATACCTAGTTCACTGCGAAGCCTGCGAACTCGTTGTAACGTCTGTAAAGTGTGACCCTATTGTTTGTATGTAGTACGCAGTGGTGTGACGAAACATTACTAGTAAATTTCATTCGATCTGCTACCTACACAACCACCAGCACAACGAGAGAAATATGTCCCAGCCGTGGTGGCGATACACAAAAGCGTGCGTCCGAGGGATTTCAAGCAAATTTGCCGAAGGTGCTTTGAAACTTGCAGAACCTGAGGAGGCAATTTCTTTGACCAAAGCGAAGGAACAGCATAAGAACTATGTGGCAGCTTTAAAAGGGCTGGGTTTGGAAGTGATCGAGATCGCTGCGGATGATAAGTTTCCGGATTGCGTGTATATCGAAGACCCTGCAGTTGTATGCGATGATACCGCATTGATTACTGTTCCTGGGCATGTTTCAAGGCGAGGAGAAACTAAAGCTGTTAGGATTGCCTTAGAGAAACTAGGTATGAAATATTTTCAATAACCCACCAAATTGATCAATTCCAGCATAACTCGGGGAATATGTAATTTTTAATTATGTAATTTTGAATGGGCTATTCCATTTAATATCCGCAACCCACCTATCGAGGAGCTTGCTTCTGGCCAACTTTACCCCTGAGGAAAATACGATTTTTTTTCATACCCCAGAAGAATTCCTGACTTAAATATGTCTACCCCTAAAGAATTCCTGATAATGACCCATCCTTGAGGAATTCCAAGGCCCTAACCTGACGCAACCCTGACGAATTCCAAGCTCCTAGAATAGGGGGGCTGCGGATATTAAATGGAATAGCCCAATGAATGTACCATTCTCTACAGACTACAGGTCTGATGACCTTATGTTCATATGGTATGTATCACAATGACTTAATGATTACTCACTTTATTAAAATATTGCAAATTTAATATTATTAGTACAAATCAGGTATATTAAAAAGTGGGTGTTGGCATGCATTCACCCCTTTTGCCCTTATATAAAATCTGGAGCAAAGGTATATATGTAGCTTGAAATTTGATAATTGCAACTTTGGTAATTGAACCTTTCAATAAGTAGCTCTAGTTCTCTTCTACACAAAAATCAGCTTTAAAGAGTGTACTAGCTCTTTTTTACATTCAGCAATTAACAAATAATATAATAATACAATATTAAAATGTATTAATACCATAGTCCCCTGAGGAAGGCCCTCAAAGGTAGAAATGTCAAGAAGTGTTTTGTCTATTTTAGGCAGTTTTTATACCACATTTGAAGCATAATGATATCATATGTTTAATTCATAGCAACGTACTATTAGAGTATCATTACCGTATGTATCTTAAAAACATTGTGGTTCAGATTTTTACACTAAATAAGATTTAGCTGTGAATGTAATGATACAATAGCACTTTCAGCTAATAGGTGTTCTATACCAACATTTCAAAATTCCAGTGGAAATGTTGTATTCTTGATAAACCTGAATTCACTGTAATGGTAAATTTGTCTTTAGTAACATGTTGTGCCAGCATCACGGGTACCCATACACAAGCCTATAGGCACACTCCCTTAGGGTTTGACCCACTTGATGGTATGACAAGCTATCTTTATATGCATAAGTTATTACAATAATATACTCAAGAGAGAACACCAACTACACAGAGTGAACACCAACTAATTATATTTTAAATTTGTTCAGGATTAAGAATTGTGGACATGGTGGAACCTGCTTTCATGGATGGGGGAGATGTGCTGTTTACTGGACGCGAGTTTTTCATTGGTATTACATCAAGAACAAATAGAGAGAGCTGTAAATTTGTAGAAAAAGCTTTTCCAAATTATCCAGTCACAGCTATTGATATGGGTGAAAGTGGTATATATTAATTTTGAAATATTCGTGTAAATAATGAACCCTGCTTCCAATATATTTATAATTATATATGTTTCAGCCTGAATGAATGCATCAAAACTCTCCCCTCAAGAAATGCATCAAAGCTCTTCGTTTCCACATATCATAAAACTCAATATGATAGAGAAATAATTTTAAAATATTTATTTATTTGTGTTTTTGTTCATATAGGCAGCGTGCTGCACTTAAAAAGTTGTTTGTCAATGGCGGGCCCAGAATTGATCGCCATTGGACAAAGTGAGACCGGGGAAGAGTGCTGGAATGCAATTGTAAACCACGGCAAGTTCAAATACAACAAGCTCTCCGTACCGGAGAATATTGCTGCGAACGTGCTGTACATCAATGGCACGCTTGTGCATCAAGCGGCATCGTTTATACCGAAGAGCATTGGTGTTTTGCAGGCATTAAATTGTCCCAAATTGGAGGTGGACATGTCGGAACTGGCTAAAGCTGACGGTGCTTTGACATGTGATTCATTGTTGATAAAGTTTTAGAAATGGTTTGCCCGCGAATCAAATTTTCATGGCATATGCGCAATTTTTTTGTCATTTATATTATTTCGAATATCATTTATGTATTATTCTTGAATTTTAGCGGGTGAGTTACTATTAAGTAACAGGGCGCAGTGTTTCACTGCGCTCTGTAAGTAATAACTTATTTTTTTGGTCTAACTCACAACGTGTTGAGCACCTTTAAAGGCGTGAAACTCGAGTAACCGAGCGAACGGTTTTTAACTTTTTCATCTTCAATTGTATTGTATTACTGCTCTGCCTCTTTGGCATTGAGCTCTGATATATATATATATATACTTTGCTAGTTCTTTATGATGTATGATGTATAATCTTATGTTTACAAATTGCATATATTAAATCTTTATCACGCATGTGCAAACAATATACCGTCATGATTATATTGTTTATAGAGTTTTTAATAAGAGTCGAATTTCGTTGCGATTTCTTTTTTTAACTTTTTGTGGTTTTGTGGTTATACATTGAGGTTTGGTTTTTCTAGTCCCTTCTACTTAGTTGGAATAATCGTATTTACAATCACTCATTCTCGCATCAGAATCAAAAGCGCGCTTGTTAGCGGTCTCCAGGAATCCACTGAGACGACGACGTTTGATTGAAGAGCCGGCTCACATAACAGCACCGGCGACCGCGTAAACAGTTGGGAAAGATATCCGTGGCGTTGCAGCGAAGATTTATTATACCTGCTGTGAGTGTGAAGAAAGTGTTTTGGAACGTCTAAAAGAGTCCTTAAGGAGGTGCGTTCTGCTACAAATCCCATATCTCTTTTGCAGCAATTTACCTATTCTGGAAAATGTCTCGTGCCACAGTTTTAATTAAAGATTTATATATAAGTAGCAGACGTATACGATCGCCACTATAACAATCGTTCACGTACACTTGTTGTTTTATATATTTCAAACAATAAAAACGTCTTTGTTAACTCGCATTTTTTCCGACGAAGAATTGGATTTAGGTGCAATAATCGACCATTTATATTTACGTCCGTTGCCGTTGCATATATATATATGCAATTCTAATTAGACTTCGAGTATCTATCTATCTATCTATCTGCGGCCAACGTTTTTGCAAATGGGTGTATATATATATATATATATATATATATATATATATATATATATATATATATATATATATATATATATATATATATATATATATATATCTTGGCCGCAGATAGATAGATAGATAGATACTCGAAACCTAATTAGAATTGCATATATTCTGTAATATAATTGAAATCCAATGCAAATGTAATCATATGCAACTCTAATTAGACTTCGAGTATCTATCTATCTATTTGCGGCCAACGTTTTTGCAAATGGGTGTATATATATATATATATATATATATATATATATATATTATATATATATATATTATATATATATATATATTATATATATATATATATTATATATATAGTAATATCTTAATTTTCAATGGCAGGTTAATATATTTATTTTCTCGAATGAATTTCAGTATATGTCTATATATACTATAGTTATATGAAACTGCATTGCCTATACAACTATATAAGCATTACAATGTACATTGTTCCGTTCATTGAATTTCGTTTTGCTTTCCAGACAATAAGAAAGCATCTAACACGACAATTATTCTTTCCGTGTTCATGATTAAACATCTGTTCAGCTTCTCGGCTAAATTTTTCTTGTGTCAACGTTAAAAATTAATTGAAGATTATTTGCATATTGTGTAAAGTATGCTGTAGCTATATACTGACGGCTAAAATCATCCGGTTCCAAATATACAAGAAGTAGTGAGTACTAAGAAACTATGTAATCCGCAATTCTTAGTTGAGAAGGCAAATGATGCCCAGTCTGTAAGAATTTTTTCACCGTTTCGTGCTAATATACCAGTTCATTTGGCATGCATGTGTTAATAATTAATGTATTAATACATTATATTAAACAGGTTTCATCCAATTTTCTTGTTTTATGCAAAGTAAGATAACGGAATTGAATTTGCCACATTGAGGACCTTAGGATTATATAACATTCACGGTAAACCGCTATAAGAAGGAAGACTTAGTCAAATCGCATTTGCAAGCAAATTCTACAGATTTTTGACAGCTTAGTTGATGTTTGATGCATGCTCCAATTTTCATGGACAAATCGTCCCGACTTCCATCAGCCCATAATAATAAGTAGAACAAGACAACAGACAAAGAAAATAAACTAGAAAAAAACAATAAATTAACTAGAAACTGGAAAATGGTATTAATTAAGCCTTCTTGAGGGGGCATGAGCAGTGTCCAGGGCCCGTCCAGATGATACCGGAAGAATTTGGAAACGCAAAAATATTTCTCCAAATTAAATATTTATCCGCGCCCACACGTAAACACAAAAACGATTCAAAAACGCTGAAGTTACTTGACACTTTCACGTGTGATGTCGAACTTCAAAACAAAAATCTACTAAACCCAAAGCAAAAAAACAAGAGAACTGTTTGGAGCGACAAGCCAGAACTCCTTCTAAATGTTTTTGTTTTGTTATTAAATGTCGTGTATAAAAGAATGTGTATAACCAAGCACTCCAACATTTTGGACATGTTTTTCGCGTAGATAGAAGTCTTTATCTTGTCGATGACAGTACTCAAAACATACGTTTGCATGGGTTTACAAGTTTATGTGAATAAAAAATACCGCTATTTACAATGAAAACCATATCATGCATTATAGTTAAAAAGACATCTATTTAAAAAGAAATTTAAATTAAATAATTTAAATCGTTCTGTTATCACAAAGGGTAATTCGAATTCGTGCCCTCTCTGCCTCAACAGTCTATTTAACTTATTAGGTAATAATTTATGAAGAGCATTGTTCTTGTTACTCATTATATTGTTCCATAATTTTAAGTCTTTTTTGGAGATGATATCCGCAAAGTTTATCTCTTGTGATATGTATCGTTTCTGTATAGGCACGTCTAATGAATGTTTTGAATCTGGTTTATATACTTGCCATAAAAGGCACCTTCCCAAAGCTCAGATCCGTATAGGTAAACATGTAGAGGCATTATCACGCTGTTGAACAAAAGGTGTAGCTGTTTCATTGGCAAACCATGCATAATGTCGCAATTCTCTGTTCCTTTTTCTCGTGGTCAACCTACAATTTTACAGATTACAGTCTACGATCCTCCCGGGTTTTGGCTCGTGCACTTCGTCTTCCTTCTCGAGCTATCAATTATATTTTACGAGGATTCTTCCTGGGAGAGATGAAAGTGGATGATGTTGTGGAATGCAAGATACGGTGCATTATCAGTGCCAACTGTCGGTCTGTGAACATTATCGCAGTCGCTGGTGGCCGGATCGTGTGTCAATTAAACAGCGGGCATCGGGAAGATGGAAAAAACGGGCAGTTTGTTCCGCAGGAAGCCGGGGAGTATTGCGGTCTGAAGGTATAGTAACACCTGTGCAGAGGCATTACCACGCTGTTGGACAAAAGGTGTAGCTGTTTCATTGGCAAACCATACATAATGTCTATAAAACATGCACGCATTGTATATACATCCTTTAGCTGGCTTTTCGTATCATTTTATCGAATTGTAAATCCCTTTAATTTTATTAGGCAGGTTTTCTAAAATTATTCCTAAGATCTTCAACCATGCAGGGTTTACGTTTAATGTAAGGAAATACAGCAGGTAGAGGCGTTTTGATGTTGCTATGTATGACCATTTCGTACGTCTTAGTCATGTTTAGTTGTATTCTATTTCTCTGCATGAGACCATTCACTGATGTTGTTAATTTCAGTTCTTGACGTGTCTTCACAATCATTTCCAGGCACTTCCAAAGTCAACTCGTCTGCAAATTTCACTAATTCGTTCCTATAGTGTGGTCGGTCTTGATGTCATAGAAAATGATACTGGGTTTAGTACTGTCCCTTGAGGAACACCCCTATTGGTTTTCACATACTCTGTCGTGATTCCATCAACCTTTACTCTCTGTTGGAGATCTCCCAAAAAACTTCAAACGAGAAGATTCTCACATATTCGGCGTCTTTTTCCATCCATTTTAACCACATATGTTGGCATTTGATCAAGGCCATGATTTAACTATGCCCATCTCTATGTTAGTTTTGTAAACGCATTCCTCAAATAATCTTATCATGATATCTGTCAAGGATATAGGTCTTAACTGATTACAAGAGCTGAGGGTGGATTCTTTAGATATAGGTATGATATTAGATTGCTTCCATATTACAGGAACCTGGGCAACTGAAATAATAAATATTTACGTGATTGTTAGTGCCATGTCGAATGCAATTAACTCTTTCCAAAACAAGTACGGGAGATCATCTGCATGGTCCTGATGATCATGATGCTCGTTTTGGTTTTTGAAGATGTCTCTCAGAAATATTTCAACAGTAAGCGAAGAAACTCTGGTATTCTCTGGAATTTCGAGTAACTCTGTTGTAGCATAATGAGGGTCAGTACTAACACTTTGGAAGAAGCTATTTATTCCGTTAGGATCAATAGTTGTTGTAACTGGTATACTGTTATCTTTGCTTCCGGTGATTCTGTTGACATGCATTTGACCACCAGCCTTTTGTCGCTAATCGGTGTTTAGGATTCTCATTCTTTGCAGCATTAATTTGATTTTTTTGGATAAATCATTATTTATTTCTTGTAAGTGAGTATGAGCTTCGCTATTTCTGGCCTCAATAATTCGCTTTCGTTGTTTTAGAAAATGTTTGACCGAAGGAGAAATAAATGGCGGGTCCTTTGTTGACGTTCGCACTGTGATCATCGGAAAGCTTTTTACGAATTTTGGCCAAACACTTAGATAGAATTTTTCAACCATTTGATCAACACTTTGGCCTACTGCAGTTATTTTATTCTAATCGGTTGATTCTAGTTCAGGTATAACATGTTTAAATTTCCGTGTTGTCTCACGTCTCTGAAATACGAATTTGCATGTCCTTTTGGCTTTAATAATATCTCGTGGGTATGCTATAACCATACAATGATCTGATCTAACCAAACTTTTCACTTTTCCAATAATCTGGAGTGTTCGTAATAAAAACATCTAATATGTTATCCCCTCTTGTAGGTGTCTTAACCATTTGGGAAAAGGGTAAAATGCTAAAAGAATTGGCGAAGATTTTACTCACCATGAAAATAAGTTAGCCGAAATGAGACTCAATCTAAATAAGACTTATTTAACGCTAATATAGCAATATAAAGTCGAGCATAACCATCAAGGCTTGAAAGAAGCCTAATTAATATTGTAACGATTCGAAACGTTACGACATCGTTATTATGGTTTTTACCCTTGCCTGCAAAGCCGCCCACACTTATCTCTCAGCCGTCATTTTCAAATTCTTCCACTATGGAGATCGTTTTAGACATCCGTTTTCAGTGGGCGAAAACGCCAGTTTTTTTCAAATGCTAAAATAATGTTACCACACTCTGCAAACATTTTAAATCATTCATTGACCTGATACGCGTGCTATGCCTGAAGTGAGGGGATCGGATTTGGTGAAATGTTACTTCTAAAGTGAGATATATCCAATATGGCTTCTTTTCCCCCTCTTTCAAGCTGTTGACGGCTGCGAGAGAAATCCACACGCGGCACACGAACACGATTAATATTCGACTTTTAAACCACATGTGAAGATGCTACTCCATACTTAATTGTTTGATCACATGGTTTCACGTAGTGCAAATAAAGCTTTCTGATTGTGATATAAATGTTTAACAAAGATTTTGTTTCTACAGGAAATGAATTTTTTTGGTCGCAATTCTCTGTTCCTTTTTCTCGTGGTCAACCTACAATTTTACAGATTACAGTTTACGATCCTCCCGGCTTTTGGCTCGTGCACTTCGTCTTCGTTCTCGAGAGCTATCAATTATATTTTACGAGGATTCCTCCTGGGAGAGATGGAAGTGGATGATGTTATGGAATGCAAGATACGGTGCATTATCAGTGCCAACTGTCGGTCTGTGAACATTATCGCAGTCGCTGGTGGCCGGGTCGTGTGTCAATTAAACAGCGGGCAACGGGAAGATGGAAAAAACGGGCAGTTTGTTCCACAGGAAGCCGGGGAGTATTGCAATCTGAAGGTATAGTAACACCAACACCGAACGAAATTTTTCGTCTGATATTCTTTGTAATTGTGACCGGTAAAGGGAAGCCGCTTCTTTCGAATTCTCACAATTGAAAAGAATATCAGACGAAAAATTTCGTTCGGTCGAAAAATTCCGCCTAGTGGAAAACCGGTTCGTCAACCTTTCTCAACCGTTCCTCAACCTTCACTTGAAAAATATGTTAATTAAAAGAATGCTATTGGTTTATCTGTGCAAAATACAATAGACATGTGACGAGATAGGAAAATGTTAATGAGTTGTATTGTAGTTTATGTGGTCTCCAAACCATGTATATTGTATTAACTGTGGTATAATAGTGATTATCTCAATATTCTGTGCATGGCCAAGCAATTTTTTTTAAATTTTTGTTACTTTAAGGAGAAGAAATTCTGCACAAGTGATGGCACAACATGTGACAATGGTAAGGAAGGAGACATGACCAGAAATTTGATACAACATAGCGCAAGGCATAAAAGGCGCATATTTAATCAGTCTTGTTCATGCAGTAAAATCGCGAGAAATATATAGGAAACTGAAACATGACTTATTTGTCCATCCGTCTTTGATATTCTATCACCAACTTTCTATAATGTTCCCCACAAGTCTCAGTTTATAAAACAGTGCTGCGACAACCGTACAAGGAGGCAAAATAAGACGTAATTTGTCTTGAATGGGCAAATCGGTTATAAATTATATCTGCCGTATTAATTGACATTTGGCGAACTGCATTACATGTTTAGGTGGTCATAATATCGTCATATTACAACCGATATCTTGTCAACAGGTCCTATTGGTTAGACACATGATTTGTATCCAAAAATACTTAAAGACCGTAAAGACTTATATTTTCCTGGTTATGCATGCTAATGTTTTTTTGTGTTCATTCACTACGAGACTGTCGAAACAATCAATTTCTAAAAAAATGAATAATTATGTGATTACTTCAAATTTGAATTAATTGTCAAAATTAGACAGTCAGGCTGGCTACACCGCTACGTGTATTAATCCAAACTTAGCTTAGTAACTCAAATTAATACAATTACTTAATTCTGCTATTTAAACTCTTTTTCAATCGAAGATGGCAGACAACTCGTTGCTTCTGCTGATTATGGTATATATATGAACCAAATGCCTAAATTTCGAATTAAACAACAATATCTGCCAATGCCTTGATTTGTCCTTCCCAGAAATTCTTAATTTGGTGACCTTATAAATTATAGGCTTAGCGGTTATACATACATAGGAAAGGTTGTTTTAGGAAATTACCACTTATTCATTTATTTTTCGATTAAAGCCTCTAGTAATGTTATGATAATCCTAGAAGTTAGCCACGTGCACATTAACAATATTCGTCTTAGCTCTTCGCCGAGATGAAAAGCTTTTGAAATAAATGAAGCAAACTAAGCATGAATACAAACAAACATTTACGATCTTGTTTTTAGAAGAAGCTTCGCGATTCTCGAACTCATGGCAATAAAGTATATGTTTTCGCGGGGGCCATATTTCCTAGGAAATATGACCCCCAGGGGAGGCAAATTTCCTGGGACACCGGCAATGAATGTAAGACCAAACAAAGTATAAAAATCCAATAGGCAATGCGTGTAACACCAAACAAAGTATATGCATGAAAACCCGATAGGGACGCAAAAAGGTTTATATATAAGTGTCAGGTTTTTCACGTTGATCATATTCGGAAAATTTTCTCCCAGTACAGGTCTCAGTTTTCGGTCTTCGCATCAAACTGGAATAAAAGTTTTTTGTTTTACGCACTGCTCTCCATTTTATGCCGTAAGTTGTCCGCTGACAATATGAGCCTGCACAAGTGGGAGAAATTTGCTAATGTGGACCAGCGTGTTTGGATCAGAACAGCGCTAAGTAATAATTTATTTGGGGCGAGTAATTCTCAGACCAATGATGCATGTCAATCTCACAGATGTTATTTATCAATTATCATTTCTTGCAGTGAGCCCGTGGTTTGCATTCAACCAAAGTTACTTTCAGTACGTAAGATCCACGCTAACGCATGCTGATGCCGAAAAATATTGCCAGGAGCAGAATGGTCATCTGGCTTCGATCTCCAGTGAGAATGAGCAAACATTTGCTTTTGAAACTTTTATTGTTCCAGACACTGGAGGTAGGTGCCCACCGTCCACAATGTGGCCTTGTCATTATCATCATGCGACCATACTTTGTCTCACCTGATCTTTTGTCTTTTCCTCGCCGACTGCTTTCAACCGCTATCAGTAGCGTAGCCAGCCTGACAATTTGTACCGCTATGCTAATATTTTGGTGTTCATTGACTGCGAAGACAATGAATTTCTAAAAATATGAATAATTATAATAACTCGAAATTTACATAGCGGGACCACAAAATCGTCAGGCTGGCTACGCCACTGACCGCTATAAAGCCGGTTTTCCACTAGCGATATTTTTCGCGCGAAGCGACTTTATTCCTTTGTATTTGAGCAATTTGTTCCAGATGGTTGCAGTTGAGAGGTCTGAAACAAAAGTAAAATATCGCTAGTGGAAAACCGGCTTAAGAATAGGGTTTTTTCGAGAGAGTTCAATTTTGGCCGGCTTTAGTGATGGCCGGTTAACTATTGGTTTTTACATTTTAATGTGTTAAAACAAGGATTTTTCACACTTTGCCTTTAGAAGCAGCAATCGATTTGAAGTTCAATATATGGAAATTGTTTTTGAGCAATGTCGTTAAGCCTGGTTTCACTAGCCGCTAATTAAATGAGAACAAGGCCTGATTCTCAATAGTCATAACCTGTATTGGCACAGCGTAACATTGTATACTGTCTCAACAACTACTGGACTTTTTAATCGAAGCATTTATTGGTTTATGAACTAAAACAATTAAACAAAAGCCTTTTCAAATTCCGAGATTGAAATTGAAGTAAAAATCAACGAGAACACATTAATCAACGAGAACGCATTAATTCGCCTCATTAAAAAGAGAAAAAAACTGCTTAAGATGATTTTGAGGTATTGAAATAAGTCTTTATGACACTCAAGGAGCACATGCTATTGTCGGGATGACTACACCACTGCCGGACAGGATCATGTTAGTTACGCATTTCAATACCTCATCTTCATCTTCTTGACGCTCCGTTGAATCTCAGCTAAGCGGGATCATGTAAACAGCCCTTGTCGACCCTCCGGACCGTACTGACCATGCTCTATTTATATATAGCCACCGATTTCACCCGTATTGGCATGAACGATATTGAAACAGAGGGCGTCTATGTCTGGGAAGATGGCTCTCCGGTCAGTCACATAAGATTCGCCCCAGGTGAACCAAACAACCTGGGTGAAGAAGACTGTATGACCATATGGAAGGGAGATGGAGGCTACAACGATTTAGATTGTGACGCAACGTCTTCGTTTTTCATCTGTGAAACCAACTACAACTCACTGTATTCTTGACAATATTTCCTATATATTGGTTTTTATTTTCCCAATGTCTCTACGCGAGGTAGTTAAATGTTTGAGATACTCACAGCGATCTAACTAAAGGGCTGTGCCAAACAGGTATTGAAAAGAGTAAATAACATGATCCTGGTAGTCGTGTAATCATCCTAACACTAGCTTGTGATTGTTTTATTTCAACCTATTTCTCACTACCTCAAAGTCATCTTATGCTTCGTTAAATCTCAGGAAAGCCCCTTCACATGAGCTCGATTACCCGAGATTTAACAAAGCGTGAGATGATTTTATGAGGTATTAAAATCCTTTTTTTTGGAGACAAACAAGCACATGTTAGAATGGCTCCACGATTACCAAAATCATGTTTTTTACTCTCGTCAATACCTCAAAGTCCATCATACGCTTTGTTAAATCTCGTTCTTCTCGCTGTTAGCCGGCGTCAGTTTGAATTTTCTCTAAACGTTTCGTGTGCCCTTCAATCGGTTGTGTCCACTTGCCAGCTAACTGCATGCTATAACTACCTTAACAACTTACTACTACACTGGCTTTATGAGTGGATTGACACGCGTAACGGCGTAAGATTAAAGTTAGCTTAACTTGGGCTTTCAAAGCGTGTAGTATATACAGGTCACCATGCTCTACTGTTTACCTAAAAAACGACAGCTCGACAAAATCGATTGAAACTAAAACCAATACTACACTAATTAACAATTGCGAATGGTCGAAAATTATCTTTACTTATACATTTTTCTGACAAAAATAAATTATTTATCCATGTCGTATAAAAGCACCGTTTACACTACACTCAATTTATTGGCACAGCACGCCGCTAAAATGGGCACCCGTACCCATTTCATCTGTACTCGGCCTTTGTTTTGGTAGCCTGAACACTAATAAAATTGGGTACGGGTGTACATTTTAGGCGTGCCGTGCCGATAAATTCAGTGTAGTGTAAACGGGGCTAAAGTAATGTATTCCTATTTCATTTACATATCGACTTCTTTATTTCTGCAATTCTATCATGCATACAACTAAACAGGATTAAGCGTTTCCGCCGTTGCGTAACACCATTACACTCTGTTATTACAGCTGCATAGTCAACGGCTTAGTCAAAAAGGGGCAAGTCAATCTGCAATCTGCAATCTGCAGGACTGTTGCGAGTTACACAAAAGCGAGACTGCATGGTAAGGTTTTTCTCGCCAAAGCATCGAAATTATTTTATGCTAGGCTCGTTCTTACGTTGCACGCAGCAGTTCTCCATGCAGAGTTAGCTATCTTTTCCCAAAATATGTTATTTCAACTAGGCTTTGTAATAGCCAAAGTATTTTTAGATTTGAGAAAATATCGATGATTAACATACAATGTATGAAATGAAAATAACAGTGGGAAATTAACTCGATGGACTTTGCTTTTTTATAATTTCAAGCACGTATGTGCCGTATATAAAGAGACTCTTAGTCTTAGTTAAAAGCTCGTTTCGTTTCTTGTCATGTAAGGGTTATGTAGTGTAGAGGGATGAGGATGACTTTATCTTTTTCAGTTTTATTAAACAAAATGTTAGTATGAATGTTACGTAGAGCGATTTTCGGGCCGCTACCTAGCTACCTATACGAACAAGCTTTGTTGTTGGTTGATGATAACAATGTAACACAACGACTAAAGAAATGCGATTTCAAAAGAACGAATAATAAATACTGTTCACTATTGTTGCAAAAAACCAATAACAAAACTCGATCATACTAGCTAGATACTGCGATTTCCATGCAGTGGCGGCGCCGCCAATAATTTTTTTTCGATATACAGTCGGGTACATCTTTGATGGTTGGGCACATCTTTGTTTCGCGCCCTGGCTTGGTCAGGCAAGGTCTCTTTGATTTGACCCTAAAATACCATTTAATATTTTATGCCATCAGCCGCATAAAACGCTTTCAAAGCAATAATATCTTAGAGGTACGCTATTTTTTTAATAATAACGATGAATATATAGTTGTAAAGGCATATACTTACAGCAACGCTTCGATGAAATGCGTGATATACCGAAAAATTGCTCGATTTTGAAGCTGTAATCGAAATCTCTTCTCCAGCATTTTGACTTTTATAAGTGTTGACTTTTGAAAATTATCAATTCGCGCGCGCAATGCACACCATTGCACCGTGTCTGGCAAACAGGACTGGGGAACAATGTCCGCTGAATACTTTGCCTCTGGGCGCAAATCAAAGATGTGCCCGACCATCTAAGATGTGCCCGAATGTCTACGGAAAAGAAATTGCAGCGACGCCAGGGGGGGCATAACAAAATCTTTTTATGTTACCTAAGTAGTTTATAGTTTTATGCGATGTTCGCGCATCACTTAGAATAAGATCTTGCCCCCCCAAATATTTTTTTGACTCCCAATTGTTCCGACAGCCCAACCCCGTTTATTGTAACCTTGTGCCGCCACTGTTCATGCATTAAAATTGTGTAATAGCACTTGGGTTGGTTTTTTCCTTATGGTATTGTCTTTATTAGCACGCTTTACTTTATATAATGCAATAAAATCTCGTTACGTATATACCAAAGCGAAAATAAGTGATGTGTAGCATAAGTGAGGCATGCGTATTACTCGCCCAACAAATATTTCTATCAGAGGACTAAATTTTTTTTATCACAAGGTTGAATATCTGAAAGGAAGGATATGCAATGATAAAATTACAATTGATTTAGACCAATGTCTTTAAATATGACCCCTGATTACCTGTGTATTTTACCAGCCTAGTTACCATATTTTTATGGATTGAGTTCTAATAGAAAAATACGTTTCGTTTATTATGTAGAAAATTATGTTTTTCCTAAAATATTTGAACACAAGTAACAAAGTATCGATTCGAAACCTCTGCAATGTCCAGTTGGGTCTAGCTAGTACCACAAACCATAGGTGGCCTATCGTGTGAAATGATAATAAATAAAAAATTTATACGCAAGTTATAAATTTGCGGTTAATGGGGTAATATGTTCTAGAAGGTCCTATTTCATCCTACATATGGACCATCTCTGGTCTAGCTGTCATAGGTATTGCATGCACTAATTTTAGCCCGGGCAAGGTCAAGGCAGTCTTTACCAGCCATGTTAATAGTTATAAAGTCCAAAATCTGAACGAACTCTGGCATCTTAGCATGTGAACAACGTATGCAAACTTTTGTTACGGCCAATCGAATCTTCCCTGACGGTCTTTCCCTTCACGCGGACTTGAACAATGACCCCCTTTTTCTGCAAGGATTTTGCCTGCTCCCCATGCATGAATTGGTCATTCGCAAGAACTCAGCCAATGCGTCCACAACGCCAGTCAAATATTTAAAGGTCTTTATCGAAAGGCAGTAATACATATAACTGCGTTTCAACTATCATAACTGAAAAACTACAAAAATAAACCCCACCCACCTACCCATAGCGAAGGACCGGCCGCTGTGGCATCCGCATGTAAATATACTGATACGTTATTTTCATTCATATGTTATCTCTAGATAGTCTATCGACATTAATTCTTCGTGTAACTTGCAGTGATTAAACAATAGCAGGAAGTACTGTCATTCTAGACAACACCTCACCACGTGAAGTGCATTTGTACAGGTCATCTTGGTCGAAAACACGACCTGATGACCTGACATAGAGACTCGATGGGTCAGTCAGACAATATTTGAGTCGAGCTGACTGATCTGAACAGG